ACTCTAGTTGTTTTTAAAAGCTACTGTGCACATGTTTCATGCTCTGTATAATGGTGTTTATGATGATTCTTTTACCATTTTTCATTGTTTCGTATATTTTAGAACACATACTTATATTGTATTTGTAACTTATTAAAAAAAAAAATGTCGAACTGCAAGATCCAACACCACCATCAAGTAAGGTATGAATACACTTAGACATAAATTTGATTTATTGTGTTTGAATGTTGTATTGTTTGAGATTTTATATTTTTCTATGTTTTTCTGGATTTTTAGCCAAAACTTTTTTGGACACATAAAATAACTCATGAGATGTTAGTATTAGCTAATGGTGAAAAAGATAAATGATACTGGAAAGGTACATGTTTTAATGAGATGGCAAAGACAAAACATTCAAGGAGGATTTTTGACAAGGTTTGGTTTTGACCTACCTTGGGGAAAATTCACCATCACCATCGAGCAAGGTATGAATACACTTACACATTAATTTAATTTATTGTGTTTGATTGTTGTATTGTTTGTGATTTTATATTTTTCTTTGCTTTTCTGGATTTTTAGCCAAAACTTTTTTGGAAATATGAAATAAGTCATGAGATGTTGTTATTACCTAATGGTGAAAAAGATAAAGATATTGGAAAGGCACATGTTTTAATGAGATGGCAAAGACAAAACATTCAAGCAGGATTTTTGACAAGGTTTGATATTGACCTACCTTGGGGCAAATTCAAAATCCGTCTTGAACATCTAAGAAATAGTTAATATGAGCACGGATTGATGGGATCATCTAATTAAGGTAGTTTCTACAAGCAAATGTTTAAATACATCGTTAATTGTCTTACAAATTTGTTTTTAAATACATCTTTAGTGTTCCTCATGGATCCCATTAAGAAAGCAAATCTTATTCGTCGAACATGTAAGAAATAATCATTACTATTTGCGATTATAGCACAAAGCCAAATTCAGATGAATCTGTTTACAAATATGTAATACAAAAATTCCCTAACCATTAACTCGATATGTAACATGTTCAATAATAATTGCAGGTTCTAATTCTCCATTGAGCTGTCGTTTAGCCAGCAGTGCAGTGTTCTACAGACCAAAAAATGGAATTACTGTTTAGATCATCATAGTTAAGGAATTAGAAATTTAGCAAGTCATATCAGAATGTCACATTAAATTCATAGATCCATTGTTATGAATATGGATCACACATGAACAGGCAATCATGAAATGGCATGAATGCAGATTCTAACCTCGAGATTGAATGCCAATGTCCTTATCCTTTGATTGTATTTAGAATACTGATGCAAGGTAAACATATAAAACCAGCTCAAGGGCACACACCGGAGAAACAACAGCATCCGGCCAGAGAAAACTATCATCTTGTCAAGCATTTTTTTTAATGGGTTATGTGAAAGATGGTTGTATGACAATGGATAATATTTAGAATGTGATCAAAGAAGACACATTAATGGATTTTCTTGAGATCCGCTCTCAGCCTGTTGAAGATGGGATCGATCTGAACCCACATTTGCTTCATCACCAGCGTTATAGCATATGTTCTGGAGTGCTTCAGAAGCTTAGCCGAGTACTTGTTACGATAAGCGTCATCTATTAGTGAATCAAACTTGTGTAAGATAGAATGATACTCTAATGAAATAGGAAAAGCAACCAAGCGAAGACGGCCTAGTGGTCTTGAGGGAGCTTTGGCCCCAATACGGATCCGGATTCGAATCCCTCTGGCCACTGGGAGTAAAATTTAAAATATGGGCTCCCCCAGCCTCCGGTGACCGAGACGTACTCCGGCTGATAACGTAGGCTGATACGGACACTCGCCGCTAATCTGGATCCACCTTGGTGGATGCCAGGATACACCCGGTTATTCAAAAAAAAAATAGAAATAGGAAAAGCATCTTCCTCCTTTCTAATATCAACCGGAGATACGCTTTTTTTTTTTGAATAAACAGGAGATATGTCTATTTTCAGGGAAGATGTTTCAGTCTTCTCTAGAACCAATGGGTGAGTCTAACTTTATAATGACTGGGGGCACATTTTAGTGAAATATAAAAACATAAAGACAACCATAATTTCATGAAATTTAACTGAGTTTCTGTCAAGGTTTAAACAATTTCCTTTGTAGAATAGTTTCTTTTAAAAAATAAATTGTTTGTGCATGCACCCTTTTTGATCAAGTTGATTCGCCCATGTTTAGAATTTCCTCAGTTTCAAGATCAGGAAGATCACCCAATAGCGACATTGACTTTTCCACAAGGATGTCAATTTCATGTTGTTTTGCAACTTCATAATCCTTATCTGTCAAATTACGCAGCTTCTTCTCATCAGTATCATACACCTTTTGCACGATAAAACCGGGGTTATCTCTGCGTTTCGGAAGTTGCTTATGAACTGGAACAAAATACACCATGCATCTATGCATCACAGATTCTGCTGGGGCCTCACCACGATGGAAACTGTAGAACAGTCCTCGTTTATCATTTACTTTCCAGTACCCACCACCCTTTTTCTTTGCTTCTTCTTGACGATAGAACCACTGTACCAGAATCCTAATGCGTCCATTTTGTTTTTGGGTAATATCCTACCAAAAAAAAGTGTAGTGGATGATACAACAAGAACTGGTAAGATATACCAAAGTTACTAATACCTTGATAATGGCAACATACGGCATTGGACTATAGTCTCCTTGATTCAACAGCACTGAATCCTCCTGTGCAAGAAACAATTGCGCCTCTAAGCATTGAGTCAACCAGACACTAAACATTAATGTGCAAAGGTAAGGCATGATCTAAAAATTAAAGAAAAACTTCCAGTCTCAAAAAGAGCATCTATGGCTAATACATTCTCACACAAACATCAAAGTTCCTTCAAAACCTTAGATTCAACGATGTAATAACCAAAAAAATAATTAAAAAGGGTGCAATCGAAACCCATACATATATTATATTTCATTCAATCTAGTCAACACAACTTACCAGCCCGTATCTGTTACCGCCGTACTCAAACTGCCGGTAATGGGTTTTTCTCTCTCTTCCTCCACCCGTAACTTTAACCGGCCCACCAACCGGTTTCACGTCATCGGGCTTCACTTCCTTGGGCGGTGTTACGTCTTCATCCTTCTTTCTATTTCTCTTCCTCTTCCTCTTTGTCTCCTTCTCATCATCTTCGCAATATCTCACCTTCTTACGCATCCTCTTTCCCTCCATTATTTCATCAGTTCTCGTTGACTTCTGTTGGGGAGACCTCTCCCGTACAAATGCTTCTTCGTTCTCACTCGGTGACACCTGAGGAAAGCTCTGAATCCGAGACAACACCATCTTTCTTCCTCCTCCCTGCGTGAATAAGAGATTGTAGATAATTAATAGGAGTATGTTGTTTTCGCAAATATGATAGAACGTTGTATGTTATAGTCACACACCTTCTTAACTTTTGGGTTTTACAAAGAGGTTAGAATCATTAGATCACATATATATAATGAAATTTGCTATTTACAACTTCCAGTTGTGGGCAGAAAATTATTTATTGCTTAGTTATCTTTGATGACTTTTATGGGGGAATCTATTTTAATATTTTAGTATTAATTTAGTTACCTTTTTAACAAAAGTTATGTGAGACTGAGAATTTATTTATTGCTTACTTGTTAATTTTTAAAAAACTTTATTATTTTTATCTAATTTATGTACAGTAATTATAATTTATGTTTTCTGAAGTTTTATTTTATTGATTATTAATTTTAATTTCTATATTTATTATTGTTAAAGGTATGTATCTGTAATTAAAAGTAAGTATTTTAAAGCTTTTAAAAGTAAAAATTTGTTTTAAAAGGTTTTTAGGATGTTAGAATATTAAAACTATAAAAATGAAATCTATGTGTTAACAGATTTGCTATCTCATATTAATATATGTTTATATTTTGGTTAAAAGAAAATTAGTTTGCAGTTTATTTCTTTTACTATTAAACCAACTTTTTGGGGGGGGGGGATTATTGTGTTGGAATAACTATGATTTAGTAATAAATTTCATACAATTGAATCATATCTTTAATATTGATAGTTTCAAAAACACTTAATATGAAATTATAGGTCTAATTGAATCATATCTTTAAGAATGACCAAAACTATTATTTAGGAAATATGACTAACAAAAATTAAAATTGGTCAAAGTATTTAGTAAAAAGGTCAACTTTCTCATTTAAATATTTTATTAATTAAAAAATTCAAAAGTAATAAATAAAACATAAGATAATCTTTTAATCACTATGTTTGTACATAGAGATTAGTATCTTAATTGATAAAGGATTAAATAGCTTGCATAAAATAGAACCAAGACTTTTCATTTTTTAAAATAGAAAGTAAATACTTAATAAATCGTGATATGTAGTTTAGTGGTTTGTGCCTTGTGCTAGTTTAATAATTTCTCATTTATACTTGAAATAAAAGTCATTTAGGTTCTTCCTTAATTATTTAAATATATTTTAATAGAATACTTCCTAAATAAATTAGAAAAATAAGTTTAGAAACAAATATATTTCTCCTTGTGAAGAGACACTAAAACTATTAGAAAAAATCTCGGGTAAAATTATTAGGAAACAAATATATTTTATATTGTGAAGAGACACTAAATTTTGTTCAAAAAAAAAAAGAGACACTAAGTTTTTGTCTTTTGTGCATTGTTTTGTCTTTTAACTGATTACTTGACCTCAATAAGCTGCATGATAGACTTCAGAGTGAGCGTATCTCAGTTTATTTTAATGATTTGAATCTTTGTTTCATTGTATGTGTGATTGTTGCAAAGAGATGTAGTTTGACAATCTTTGATCTAATTCTTTTAATTACTGGGTAAGGAAGATATTGGATTTGGAAAACTATATGTAGATTTTGCGGGTGTTTATTTGGGTTTGCAGGTCATAACCAAAATACTTTATTTAGAAACACTTTTTGATCCCATGGGATGTTTTTTTGCCTTTGTAACTTGTCTTATTTTAGTTAGTTGCAGAGAATGCTGAGACTTAATTGTGGTGTATCTTTATTGAGAGACGCTATTACATGATCATCTGAAAGCCTGAGCTGTTGTGCAATAAACATAACAGTGCCATGGTATACTTGTGAAGGTAATACAACGCCTAAACTTTCAGCGATCTCTTCATAGGTAACTATCTTCACCTGGAATCCATTGCTCATGAACAGTTTCTCCATCCACTTTTTCAAATCCGATTAAATTCAAAGACCGGGATTGTCAATCGAAGATAGATACTTTGGTTTAAGGCAGAATGTCCAAAGATAGTTGCTGTTATTAAAGTGACATGGTGTGTGATATCTATAGGAATTTCTCCTATGATATATAACTTTCATTTGTTGCTAAGCTACTAATTGCCGATAGAATCGCCTCAAAACTAGATTGTGACTCAAGAGGTAAGCCCTGTTTATGAAATAGGTAGAATCCTGTCAGCATAATAACATTCATGGGAAGTGGAAAGATGATGGTAATAAATACATATCACCTGTATTCCCATATACTTGGCCGATTCCTACTAAACCCTTTGGATAAACATTACTCTATCTCTCCATATTCCACATGAATGTGAAAGAACATGCAACTTTTAGGAATCCTAGCTCTCACACCTGGATCAGTTAAAAAGAGACCACTAGAAGCAAGCAAGCCTCCCTTTGAAGTGATAAACAAAATAAAACATTTTAACAAAACCCTGAAGCTTGTTAGATGCTATTTCGAAAACATTTTGTGGTGATACATCAAAGATCATTGTGGAAGCTCGCCAGTTAAGCCTATACGATCGAGTATCCATTCCATCTGTGAACAAGACAACCTGCAAAGACATGGTGATATCACTGACACATAAACAATAATGCTTACAAACAGGGTCGGTGTCCTGAGCCAAGTCTACCAAAATATTTGCCTTTGGCCCCTAAAATTTTTGAAGAAAATTACATAAACAAAGACTCCCAAAAAAAAATTTAGGCCTCCAAATTTAGATATAAAAGAAAATTAGTTGCTCATGACCTTGCATCCCTATTTACCTCACCGGAATTTGTACACTTCTGTGTAAATCCTCTGATCCTGGCTAGTTGTATTATCTTCTATGTTGTAGCATCAATGTGGTTGTCTCTTAATTTCTATGTTGTCCGTTTCTGGAAGAACTTCTCCTTTATGGAGTACTAGATTTGACCCGCCCTATAAAGGGCGGGTACATTTGTTGTTTTAATTTTCTTTTAGTAATTTAAATTTTATAGTTTTGTTTTTCTCTGTATTTATACTAATGTTTTTCTTTATAATCCTATATGTGTATAAATCTTAGTCAAAATTTATTTTATAAATTGATAGTAATTTAAAAATTAATCGGCATACGCTCGTTTTTCGTATCATGCATGTATATCCATTTCGTCGTAATCATATGTCTGTATGCCCATTTCTTTGTAATATCTTTCTGTATTTTTTTCTTACATGTTAAAAAATTTAATTTATATGTTAAATTTTCTTACGATCTATATTAATTGTTTTTTTAAATAGGCTGAAAATTATTTTTATACACCCTTTATGTATATTTAAAATGTCTTTTTAAAACAAAATAAGAAATAATTAATTATAAGTGTTGCAGATTTTAGTATAGTCATTAATTAAAATTACAGTATAGATCATAGTATATATAAATATATTTAATTAATGTTAGATTTAACGATCATGCAACATTTTCAAAATAAAATGTATATATTTTTGTTTTACATATTTTTTAGAAATTTAAATTTCATATTTTTGTATTTTTTGTAATCATTTTTAGTGTAATCATATTTGTGTTTTTTTCTTTGTAATCATATTTGTGTAAAATATTTATCTAAAAGTATTTTTTTAAAGGTTATTTCACATTTTAAAGGATGGATATATTTTTTGTTTTACTTTTTTTTTTAGAAATTTATTTTTTATGTTTCTTTAATTTAAGTTTCGTGATTTGATTTCATATTATATAATTGATAATAGCATTATTATTACACATAGTATCACATATAATAATTTGTCATGCGATTAAGGTTTTGTAAATTAAGGTCCATGTTTAAAAGCATACATATTGTTGAAATATACTTTGCATCGATACTGTTACCTGAGTTAATTGATGTATCAATTTGGTTAGCTTTATTTATTTTTATTAAATGTAGTCTATATTAAAGTCAACATCATCTGTATTGTTTAGGTTAGTCTTATTTACTTTTTCGTTTTTGTTTAGTTATAGGATGAGATTATTAGGAACAGTTTATAAGTAAATAGCAGTTATATAAAAATATAGAAAGAGTTTTATTTTTTAATTGGACCCAACTAATATCAAACGGACATGATCCAACTTTAATAGTATTGATAACCACCTTTAAGTTTTAACGAAAGTGTTGTGCACCAAAAAAAAAAAATTTGTTCAATTTTTTTATAGATCACCTAGGATTTCTTAAATCTCAGATCTGGCTCTGTTTACAAAGATCTTGAGAAGGGCAATATAAGTAACCTACTTCAGTCCATAATTGCCACTACCAAAAACCAAAAAACATTTGTTATGAATTTTGATATTGAATAGCATTCCTCTAAACACTACGCCCAATCTTCTGAAGCTCTTTTCGACTCTCCTAGTCTACTATGTATTCACAATGCAATCTCGATACATGTCCACTTTGATCAGTATCTCTGCCACAAGGTGACTTTCTTGAAGGATAAAAGTTCATCCTGCATTTGTTTGGTCTTCCCACAGACTGAACGCTTGAAAAATGTTTATGTATGTCATCTTTTACGCTTTAGATTCCCACATCTTTGGAGAAATACTTAAATCTAATCTACGTTCCGTTTGTCCTGTATTTGAAGTTTGTTCATGCACATGTAGGTAAATCATTAATCTCAAAATTAAATTTTCTAGTCGAACAGAATAAATTACCTAATGCATTCTGTCTTGTAGATTCACTCAGTGGCGGAGCCAACCAAAAGGTTCATCAGGGACAATATAATATTTAAACCTAAATATAAGAGGTATTAAAAGAGATTTTAACACTTGCTCATAAAATTTTCAAAAAAAAAATTAGTGGAAATAATTTTTTTCCAACAATTCATATGGGGCAGCTGCCCATCTTACGCCCCTCTCTACATCCGCCACTAAATTCACTAATATCAGGTTGACATTGCTGCATTGGTTTTTTAGGTGCTAAGGCCATGACTATCGCTAAACCTGTTTTTAGTTTCTTAAAAAAAAAACAAATATCTTTGTTTTTTTGTTTTCTCTGATTAAAATAAAATGAAAAAATGAACTAATCACAGATCACCATATGTCAATGAAACCTGCAAACAATACAAAAATCCAAACAAAATCAACTCCTATTTGATGACTTTTGTAACCGGTTTTCAATAATTTGTGGGGTTCCCCTTTAAGAAACTCCTAAAAACCCATTCCCCCCTCCCAATAATCATGGTCTAAGTAATCCATTTCCCTCTCTATGGTCTTTCAGTCTTTGTTAAGCACAGTAGGGTTTGATTCATTTGTATAATTTGAGAGTATTCACTCACACCTTAAATGCGGTAGATACAAAACTTGTGTGAAATAGGAAGCAACTTTACATTTCTTTCAATTTCTATTACTTGGTTTTAAATTATAGAAGTGTATAGATATCAATAATATTACAAAAGTAATAAGCTATTCTCCAACAATCAATTGTAACTTATTTTATACTACAAGGAGAAATCATAATCATTATTACGTTTAATATACTGAGAATATACACCACAATTAACGGGACTGAATATGATCCCAAACTCTAGTTGTTCCACAAAATTGCTCCAATCACACCGTACCTGGAATAAAACTTATGTTGTTCTCCATTAATCAAATCTCACCTCTTTTTATTCTACTAGGAGAGTATCTTAATCATATTTATAATAATTTTAGGGGAAACATTACAGTTAACAAGATTAAAATATGATATGAAATCATTTCATAAGTACTCAAATTACTCCATAATTGTCATAACCTCGAATGAAAAAACTGACATTAGAATACAAATATTCAGTGAATTAATTCGAATTACATCCTAGAAACATTAAAATAGTACATTAGAACACAAAATAGTATTTATTTCGTTCATGGATATTCTCACCTAAAATATTTTGAAAATGTTGTAGATCGATAATAGATCCACACAAGTGGTAGTTTCGTCCATACATAGTGGGACCTACTGCAACTAATGAAGAGAGAAATGAGATTTCAAAAAACACAAAATTTGAATTTAAATCTACGATCTAAGTTCTTGTATTTGTCGGAACGTTAGAAAAATAATAATATTAAACTCAAATTACAGTTGGAGACAAATGAATCAGAGTAAAGACAAAACGATAAGAAATAAAGAAAAACCCTAAATCGACTACACACCAACACTTGTCTCAAAACATTTGAAAATGTGCGGGATTTTTCTTTCATAAACATCTCTCAGAGTTTCACTTCTCTTCTAACATTGGTTTCTTCTCCCTTGAGAGTTCTCTTCCAAGTTCTCTCAATAGAGCTAGCTCTAGGTAAAAGCAGCTCATACAGAGATCTGTTTCTCTTACCTTCAAAACCCAAATAAGAGCAACAACAAGGTACAGATCTGTTTCTCCGACATTCACGCTTCTGTCTTCTAGAAGCTGTCTGATTTCGAACTAGCTCTCTGTTTTTTTTCAGTTTCGGTCGGAAAGTTCACACCTTTATCTCTAAGAATCATTTTGCAGAGTATATGATTTGAACAATGTATCTAAAGCCCAAGACTTTAACAAGAGATCTTATGTTTTTTTTTTGTCTTTATTTCTGGTTGCTGTTATGAGATCTGAGATATGGGTTTTGCTAAAGTGTTTGACTTTTGTCTCTATTTACGCAGTTTAAGTAATGGGTCTAAATCTCAACCCGATTCTCCGACAAGAGCTCGCGAATCTCGACAAAGACACAGAGAGCCGCAAAACCGCCATGAAAGCTCTCAAATCCTATGTCAAAGACTTGGATTCAAAGGCAATCCCAAGCTTTCTAGCGCAAGTCTCCGAGACCAAAGAGACAAACTCTCTCTCCGGTGAATACACAATCTCTCTCTACGAGATCCTCGCTCGTGTCCACGGACCAAACATCGTCCCCCAGATAGATACCATCATGTCCACCATCGTCAAGACTTTAGCTTCAAGCGCTGGCTCTTTCCCTCTTCAACAAGCTTGCTCCAAAGTCATCCCTGCCATCGCTAGGTACGGGATTGATCCGACAACATCGGAAGAAGACAAGAAACGGTCCATTATACACTCTTTATGTAAGCCTCTCTCTGATTCTCTCTTGTGTTCTCAAGAGAGTTTAGCTTCCGGCTCTGCTTTGTGTCTCAAGGCTCTTGTGGATTGTGATAACTGGCGGTTTGCTTCTGATGAGATGGTGAATAAGGTTGTTCAAAACGTTGTCGTTGCGTTGGATGGGAACTCTAACCAAACGCATCTTCATATGGGTTTGGTCATGGCCCTTGCTAAGCATAACCCTTTGATCGTTGAGGCCTACGCGAGGCTGTTGATACACACGGGGATAAGGATTCTCGGGTTTGGTGTGAGGGAAGGGAACTCTCAGAAGAGGTTGTCTGCAGTGCAGATGTTGAACTTTTTGATGAAGTGTTTGGATTCTAGGAGTATATACTCTGAAGTTGACTTGATTGTTAAGGAGATGGAGAAGTGTCAGTCTGATCAGATGGCTTATGTTAGAGGAGCTGCTTATGAGGCAATGATGACTTCTAAGAGGATAGCTGGTGAGCTTGAGGCGAAGATGGAGAAGAAAGGTTCTTGTCGTTCTGTGACTGGTTCGAATTTTAGTAGAGGAAGAAAGTGTTTATCTCATTCTCCTGATAATGAGTCTTTGTCACCTGAGTCACAAACTCTTGGTGGGTCTTTTAGTGGGTATGATTCTCCGGTTGAGTCTTCGCCGCGTAGTTCTTGTAATAACTTTGATGGGAGGAGTGTGAACCGGAAACTTTGGAGGACTAATGGAGTGGTTGATATCTCATTGAAGGATGGTTTGTTCTCCGGAGACACCACTGTGTCTGATTCACCTCTTGTCCCCTATGACCGTTGTGAGAATGAGTTTGAAGGTTTTCTAATGAACACAACTCCTACTAGTCCACAGGTGAGAAACTTTGTTGTCATGATTTTGCTTTTTAATGTATCTGACTTTATTTTTCTGATGCAACAGAGACAGTGTTGTTCAAGAAACATGAATGCTGAAGATTTCAACATCTATAGCACACCAAGGAAGCTAATCAGTTCTCTTCAGTATACTGATGATGTGGACTTGGATCATTCTGACATTCTGAGTCCAGTGCTGTCTCGCCAGAACACTAAACTCAGGAAGCAAACTCCAACCGTGGCGGCGGTGGAAACAATCTCATCATCATCAACTGTTTTATTTAATGAAGAAACAACACCTCAATCACAGATGATAATGAGTAAGAAGAAGAGGAAGAACATTAGCTATGGTAAACTCATGTTTGCTATATCCTTTTTTGTGGTGGTGCTGCTTACAAGTGTGATGATGTTCAATCAAGATGATGATGTTGGTTACTACACTGTTCCAACATGACCCTTCACCTCTCTTTGGTGGTCAGTTTAAATCCTAGTGTAATGGACCCAAGGTTATTTAGTTATCCAATCTAGTATCTACATGTTGGTTGTTTGTAATGTACTTTTGGTACAAGATGTAGAATCTTCTTCTTCTACTTATCGTTCTCACTTTGTTTTAGTGTTTTAGTGCAAATCTGTTAAATCAATACACTGTTTTTAGTATACAATGTTTAGAAAAGTTCACGATTACAAAATGTACTGCACTGTCCTGGTTGTAATTTTTTTGCTATGAAGAGAATGAGTAAACTATATATAGAACCGGTTCAAAGGTTGAGATTTAATGTGTTCCGGTTAAGTCTAGTATGGTCTTTTTTTAATTGATAAAAAACAAGTTTCCGTTTTAATGTGAGAGTAAAGTTTATAACATCCTCAAAAAGATTTTCTATTTTAAATTTGATATTTAAGGTTGTTTATCTCCAAAAATAAAATTTCAGATAATCTTCAACACTTTATATTTTATACTAAAGTCATAATATTTGTCATAAATAATTTAAATTCATAAATGTTTTATAAATAAGTAACACATATATAAAAATATAATTAATAAAATATTACACCAAAATAGAAAATTATAAATCGATATCAATAACTACATATTAAACTACAAACAAAATACTACATCATTTCCTAAAATTATATGATTTTTTTTACCTTCTAAGACACAATTTGTCTTCTGAATTACTCTTTTAGACACTTCCCACCTAGGGAACACATTATGACTGTCGAAAGTCATATTTGCCCTTGTTTTAGATCAAACCAGTTTTACCCGTTGTTCAAGAACTCGTTAGGCGTTACGCGTGCAGTTGGGTGGCGCCTAGCGCCGAATTAATTAAACGGAGATTAATCGATGATTAATTGGGGAGTTATTTTATCGGCTTTGGGTTTATTTAATAGTAGTGTGCATAATAATTAATTTTGCGGTGTAGTGCAGTGGTTAATGGCAAGCGTTTTATAAAGCTGGACTCGGGTTCGAGTAGAGAGACTTATTTTACAGTTGTTTTTAAAACATTTAGATTAAATGAATTGGAAAAGGCAGGATTAGCCTTGTCTACAACCTTTTTCCCTGCAACTTCCAGCCGTTTTTCATTTTTTTTGTTCGCGATTTTGCTAATATTTCTTGATGTTCTTGTAAGTTTTGATAAAACGATACCAAATCTAACACACATGTGATTTAAAACTTAAAATCTTCAAAAACAGTGAGCTTTTTGGTTTTCCGATTTATTCGCCGATTAACATCAAACCGCCGCGGCTCCACCCCGAATCACGCTTTTCCGGCGATAAATCGGCCGCCTAACCCGCGTTTTCGAATAAGGGTTTTACCTAACCAAACAACAATTAACCATGGTTCAACTTTCTTTATTCTTTTTTTTTTGTTTTTTGTCGAACAAATAAGAACAGTTCCGATTCTTCTTTTTCCCTTGTCTACAACCTTTTTCCCTGCAACTTCCAGCCGTTATTCATTTTTTTTGTTCACGATTTTGCTAATATTTCTTGATGTTCTTGTAAGTTTTGATAAAACGATACCAAATCTAACACACATGTGATTTAAAACTTAAAATCTTCAAAAACAGTGAGCCTTTTTGGTTTTCCGATTTATTCGCCGATTAACATCAAACCGCCGCGGCTCCACCCCGAATCACGCTTTTCCGGCGATAAATCGGCCGCCTAACCCGCGTTTTCGAACAAGGGTTTTACCTAACCAAACAACAATTAACCATGGTTCAACTTTCTTTATTCTTTTTTTTTTGTTTTTTGTCGAACAAATAAGAACAGTTCTGATTCTTCTTTTTCCCTTGTCTACAACCTTTTTCCCTGCAACTTCCAGCCGTTTTTCATTTTTTTTGTTCGCGATTTCGCTAATATTTCTTGATGTTCTTGTAAGTTTTGATAAAACGATACCAAATCTAACACACATGTGATTTAAAACTTAAAATCTTCAAAAACAGTGAGCCTTTTTGGTTTTCCGATTTATTCGCCGATTAGCATCAAACCGCCCGGGCTCCACCCCGAATCACGCTTTTCCGGCGATAAATCGGCCGCCTAACCCGCGTTTTCGAACAAGGGTTTTACCTAACCATACAACAATTAACCATGGTTCAACTTTCTTTATTCTTTTTTTTATGTTTTTTGTCGAACAAATAAGAACAGTTCTGATTCTTCTTTTTCATCATTCTTGAAGATCTCAAGATCTCAGAGCCAAGTATAATGGCGAAGAAGAAATCCAAATCTAATCAGGCGACGGCGAAGAAACAATCTGCTGCTTCTCAGGATCCTCCGCAGTTTTCCTCCGGTTATCATTTTCGCTACTCTTGCTTCCCCTCTTTTCGATTTTTGTTGATTTCTTATACAAAGTTTTTATCTTTCGTCGTTTCAATCTAGTCCCGTGCTTCTTCTCTTCACATTTTTAGGGTTTGTTTGGATTTTTCAATTTTATGTTTTTGTTCCATTTGATTTGACTATTAAAGTTTTTTCGATATCACTTTCAGCAAACATTCAACCGGATCCGCGTCTCCCGTTGAGGTTATTTGCGACTGATAGGTTCCTCATCAACAAACTTAACATATATTGTTCACCGGAGATCCTCCGATTCCTTCGTCATCTTCTCAGAGACATTCCGGAGTTCGAAACCATCCGAGAGTCTTCTTTTGGAAAGCTATTCGACATTCCTTCCCTTCAAGATCCCGTATCTACAAAGCTCATTCACTCGTTCCTCACTCGCCAACTACTATGCGAGGACGAGCACACACTCTGGTCGGTTTTTAGTGGGAACCCTCTCCGTTACGGTCTCCAAGAGTTTCGAACTATAACAGGTCTGAATTGTGGCTCTTTTCCAGAAGGTTATCATCCTGACACAGCCAAGTATGTTATAGCGGGCAAAGATGGAGTTTGGAAGAAAATTTTTGGGAAGAAGAAGATCATAACTATAGCTGAGCTCTGTCAGATGCTTGAGGAAGAGAAGAACATGTCTTGTTGGAAGAAGATTCGTATAGCTCTGATTATCATAGTCGACGGTGTTCTCATTGCGCACAAACAAGTACCCTGCCCCACTCCTCGATATGTGAGCATGCTTTCAAGCTTCAAAACCTTCTTTGCCTTTCCTTGGGGTAGAGAATCATTCTTGAAGACCATCTCGTGCATGAAACCACCCAAGCCTGCTCCACCGAAGATCAAGGATCCTGTCGCTTGGCTCGTGCACAAACTCAACAGCAATCTTTCCGTCTGCTGGGATTTCCTCTTACATTCCAATTGGTTTCCTTCTGCGCCATCCCCCAACTGTTTGAGTTCATCCCTGCTCCTTTCGACCACCGCACGCTGATGGACTTTGAAGATGATTACCTACCCCAACATGGCTCCATCAGTGCTCTTGATATCCTGCGTGTCGAATTCTCCTCTAATGTAAGTAACCAGGTTAGTATATTTCATTAGAAAATTTTCCTTTACGTTTTCTGTTTGGAATTACTTAGCTTTTAAATTCTAATGTTTTCATCGACATTGCTAATTCACCAATATGATACTAAACTGAGACTAACCACTTCTATCTCAAACTAATTTTACGCTAGTTAAATAATGTTCACGTCCACAATCCAACTTTTGATTAAACCTTCATTTCTTACTCATACGATGTTTAATCATACACAGATAAGAATTGTTTTGTCCATTTGATTTGATGATTAATTTATGGGGTTTAATCATGTTCTCAGCTAGCTGTCTCGCCGGTCATACCTATCGAAAGTCAAGCGGAGCCTGGTTGGGGCGAGTGGTCCAATAAAACAAAAGACGATAAAGTTATTTACATGGAACATTTGATATCTGATAGCTACACATTCAACAAAACAATGTGGCCTGGTGGGGTAACAACGGAGTCTTTGCTTAATGTCAGCAATTTCACCAACGTACAACCTATGGAGATTGTGTTGGGACTTCAAAAGCAGATGAAACATATGCAAAAACTACTAAAGAAGATGAAGAGAAAAACTCATGGAAGGAAATCATCATTTCATACACTGCTATCTCGTACCAAGAAGCATCGGACATCTCATCTGGAAGAACGGGTAGCAGGAATTAACACACTTCATCTTCTTTTGTTCACGAAGACTCTTACAGTCTTTGCTATTAGTTTCTTATGGACCCTTCCCCTTCTGCTTATAGGATGTTCCTACCACACATCAGAGTGGTGTTGAGCCTGCACACGTCAAACCTCTCGATATCGATCCGCCAACTGACAGGGTGATGTTCAATCAGCCTCCATTCAATAGCCAATTATTTTAAAGTAAAATAGATAAAAATAAAATACATACTCTGTTTCTGTGTTCCCTATAGGATGTGAATGCTATGGATAGAGATGATCATGAGCGCCCCAGTCACCTATAATAAGTCAGTACGAAGCTCATCTCCACCGCCAGGCTTCTGAAAACATGAACACGACTTCCAACGAAACCATCCACACCACAACTGTCCATGTCTCACCTGACCACAACACAGTCTTTTCCCACAATTCGAAGGACAGTGATATGAGCACTGATGACCTCAATCCCACAGACCAGGTAAAGTTCGGTCATTCATGTTTCCTGCTACTGGAATTGAGTTCAGTTCCTGTTAATTGACCACCTTTTTTGTTTTTCATTTTAGGAGGTGGATGCTATGGAAAACAACACAGACACCGTCCACAGCTCACCTGAACACAGTTCAGAAGATGACATGAATACCACATACCAGGTAAAGTTCAATCATTCTTTATTTCACATATAATTACAAGTTTCAGTTCCTACTAATGGGACCACCTTAATTATCCCCCCCCTTTCTTTTCTCATGGTAGGATGTGGATGCTCTGAAAAACAACACAGACACCGTCCATAGCTCACCTGAGACGACCACTGAGGAGCACAATTCAGATGACGACCAGGTGATGTTCAGTCATTCACGCTTTCACATACAATGTGATCGCTTTCACATAGAATGTCTCTTCTTTTTTCTTTCTTCTCTTGATTGAATGTCGCTGTTAACCTTGACTAACTATTTTCAGTTATGATTGTAGGATTTGGATGCTATCATTTTAGGATGTGGATGCTATGGGCCACGACACAGAGGATGTCCACAATTCTAAATTGTGTAAGATGTGGGTACTTGTCCCTAATGAGCATAATGTTACGGACCAGGTGATTTTCACTCATACCCTGGATGTTAAATATATGGTTTTCATGCAGCACCCTATTACCACTGGCACACTTTCATTTACTCTTGCATGGTAGGTGGTATCACTCAAATGTTTAACCCTAAGGAGTGATTTACTCTCTCAAATAAGAGGTTCAATCGTAGTACTTAGGGATCGAATCCACAAGGTACTAGAGTCACAAACAAGGTTGGTTGAAAAGGTTTAAAACAATGAATAAAAGTTGGTAGCAATGGTAAGTTGCTAAGGAAAATAGGTTTTGGGTTTAAAAACAATGAAAGAAAGTAGTTAGATTTAAGGTTACTATTCAGAAAATCAGGATTATAAATGTATGGATGTCTTAACGAATTGCTTGCAAATATATGAGAACTTCAATCCTTAGACAAATCTATAGTTGTCGCTATTAGACTCGTCTATTGATCTGATTGCCGACAGTATCGATCGATGTTGCTATTGCAGTGTCGATCAATATGTTTTGCCGTCGATCGATGACTCTAAAGGAGTATCGATCGATAGAGCATCAGATCGAATTGAAACTGTGGTCACCCGAGAATTTCTACTAGACCGGCTATCGCACGTGCCTAATAGAGTCTGGGCTTAGCCAAATGATTTCAGGATAATGACTATTAGATTAGTCACTCCATAATCATAACTCTAGGTAGCAAATCTAGAGTAAGCATTAGGGTTCATTTGGATAATGAATATAACAACTCAACAATCCATAGTTGGGGCTAATCCCTCATAACTATTTGAACCCCAAATCTAACAAATGAATCTACTCTGACATAGCCAAGAGATTCATAGCAAAAGAATAAGATGAAAAGAAAATACTTTATTGCTAAGTATAAAATAGAATACAAAACTTAGATAAAAACTCAATACTTTCTTATTTGATCTAATGATGTCTTTCTAGGGCTCATAGGCATAACTATAAATATGAGTACAATTAGGTTAAAAACTCATCAGGGGAAATCTTGTAATTTGGTGAGAACTTGGGCTTCAAGTCGGCCAAGTAAATCTTTCTCATCACGCTCTGTATCGATCGATGGTACATGGTGTACATTGATCGATGGAGTATCTCGACTTCAACTTCTACGGAATCGTCATCGATCGATTACAAAAGGTGTGTATCGATCGATATGTGTCTCTCATTGTCGGATCTTCACAATCATCTTGGAAAACTCTCCTTTAAGCTCCATAAGACACCTAAATCATCACTTTACTACAAAATGCTCCTGAACCTGAAAACATATCTAATAGACTCCAAAACATAGATAATTATTATAAAAACATATCAATACCATGACCAAAAATGGGTCAAAATCATGTTCCAATATATGTGGTCTTGATAATATACAACAACATTTCTCACCTTTATTACTCTCGTGGATGGGATGCGTGTCTTGCGACGACGTCCAGGCTGCCTCTTTGTGATGGGAGGGTATACAACCTTCTTGCTTACCTCCTCAGGTATTTCCACATCCCTTGGGTCTTCATCTGGATTGATCACACCTGCATATGTCTCCCTCCACACAGATGTCTTATACCAATGACTGCACAATATATCAGTAGACACTCCAAGACCGTTAGCTGCTAGTATAGCATGTCCACAAGGTATTTTGATATTATCAAAATACTTACCACTACACTTCCTCTCAGCTAGCATTACCTTTTCAGACCTCCCAAATTTTCCCAAACTTTGACACGTCCACTCATTGACATAATTTATGTAACTTCCTTTAACAGTCGCCATGTTTTTTGTCATCTCTTTGTCCACCTCTATACTGACAGCCCCACTGTGTTTCTCCGCCTTCCTTCTACGCGCACTGAACCACCTAGTCATCATTCTCTGAATGAACTTTATCAACTCAAGAATGTTGGCTCTCCTCCCTTCCAAGAGCGCATTATTCAGCTGCTCAACAATATTACTAGTCATTATGTTATATCTCTCACCAGGGAAATTAGCTCTTGACCAACGAGCTGTACCAATTTTAGCCAGATACACCTCAAAATCATTGTTAGTGGCCATGATCTTCCCATAAAGTTCCTTGTACTCACGTGGCATGTGCGCCATGGCTGTCTCCAACTCTGCTAAGGGCTTACTTGAATACCTTGAATTCACATTTCTTTCCAAATGTACTATGCAAGCTCCATGCTTTGCTTGAGGATATATCTTATTCACAGCATTGGAAATACACACAGCCTTGTCAGATATTATGGCAAGAGTTGGTGAATCGCCTAAAATCCTCTCTACTTTTTGCAGAACCATGTCCACGCATCCTCGTCCTCAGCGTCCACAACTGCAAAAGCGAGAGGGAAAATCTGGAAATTAGCATCATGCCCACTAGCAGTCAAGAGAACTCCTTTGTACTTGCCGCTTAGATGGGTACCATCTATCACCAAAACATGCTTCAGCTTTCTAAATCCACAAATTGAAGCCCCAAATGCAAGGAACAAGTAAAGGAAACGTCCATCTCCATCGTCGTCTACATCTGTCTCCAAATCAGCAATTGTACCAGGATTTGCTAACTTGAACATGTGCAGATACTCAGGGATTTTCAGATATGCGTCCTCATCTGAACCATGCACCCCAAGTATCGCTTTCTCCTTAGCCCTATAGCACGTCATATACGAAGCATTCACACGGAGGTCTTCCAAAAGAAGTTTCTGCAAATCACGCGCCACAGGACACTTCCCTGGATTCCCAAAATTTGCTTTGTACACGGCTGCAATGATACGAGATGTTGCTCTACTCTTGTAACCTTGTCTGTATTCAATTGGGCAGAGATGATCAAGCTGAGTCTTCCTTATCTCATAGTAACCACACCCCCGAATCTCATGAGCCGTTACCCTCTAGTCACACCTATGATCGGGACACTCCACAACAAACGAATCAACCTTCGTCCTAGTCTGCTTGAACTTAAATTGTTTTTATTGCATAATTGCTAAAGCTATCTGACAATCTTCCTTGTTGCCAAAAACTTTCCCAACAGCTATTTCATTGTCATGTTCGTCCACGTCCATGTCCGGCATTTCAGACACATCATATTCAGTGTCATCAAACATTGGAGGAATATCAAACTCCTCGTCATCAACATCACTGAGTTGTCGCGCAGGTCGACTCCCCATGTTAACACCAGTCTGAGCCAAACTACCACCTCCCATCCAAGGATTATAATCCTCCGGCTTCAGTGTGTTTTCATTGTCATCACCACCGCTTGTCCCCCCAACCTCAACATAAGTTCTCGGTCCTGAATTTTTGTTTAGGCCTTAAACAATCTCATCCTCATTGAATACATCATTAACGGCATTTGAACCTCCGTAGTCTCCATCTAATAACGGCTTCCAAAACTCATTATCATAACCTCTTGGCCTCACTTCCATCTCCTCCAAAACAACATCTCCTTCAGTGTTAGCTCCAGAACTGAAACCACTATCATCCACACCGTCGCTGCTTTATGTTCTAAGTCTCTCACCATTCATCAATCTTCCTTCCACCTTCTCATCTTCCCGTACTAAATCATCATCTTCCACAAGGTTTATAACCTTTGTCTTAGAAGCAGCTGATGAAACGTAACCCCTTCTAGATGACCCAGACGAAAACCTTGCTGCATCTGGTGACACAAATCCCAAACCTGAATCATCCACAACATCGTCGTCCACATTTTTGGATTTCTCTTCAAACTTAGCAAACAGGTTCATCCCCCCCCCCTTTCACTTTCAAATGTTTGCAGAAATACTTCAGAGTCCCATCACTTGTAATCAGCACCGGTGGGGTCCTAATCCCAGTTGCAAGCTCCAGGGTTGTTGGTGGCCAGTAGCTCAAAGCAACACCAAAACTGGATTCATCGACTCCAAACTCCCGCAGTACACTCCGTTCGAGTTCCACACAACCAATGCCCTCGTATACAGGCACCACACGACCCATGCGATGCTTCTCAATGATGAAATCCCATTTTCGTCCATCTCCACACACCCACTCGCCGCTTAGAACCAAACATTGGTCCTCCATCCTCAAAGATAGTTCCTTCAAAGAAAACATAAGATATCATTAATTTCACGTCCAATGTAAGATAATAAGAAGATTACATAATGTGTTAAAAACGTCAATCAAAATTTTACTCAAGTAAACAGCAAAACAAAACTCTTCTTCTTCACCGGCGGTGGAGATTGTTCTACTCCAGCTTTGAGACAATGTCACCTCACTCATGCATTTATGAGCTCTCCTACTTTTTTCAAACACAGCAAACCCTGAACATTGGATCGCTCTCCATCCAACGGTTGGTATGTATTTCATTTAAGGAAACAACCAACACATTTGCTTTCTTTTCGTTGGGATAAGGCAGACAGAATAAATACACAAACTTTTGAAATTCGTAGATTTTACACATCGATTTAGACGACATCAAGTATGTCTAAGAGAATTTAGACTACATCAACTATTTTTGACATAAGTGAAGACAATGTTAGTGTTTAATTAAACACAAATTAAACTATAAAGGAAAAATTTATACTAATAGATTATATTATTAACTTTTTTTCCATTACGATTCCATAGGTTAACCTTGATTGACAAATTATCACTGTAATCAAAATAAGAATAAAAATCATAAAAACATAATACCAAACTAATTCTAAAATCTGAAACTCTTTAACATGATCTAGTTTTCTTTGCCTTTTTCGCGACATGTAAATTGACTCCAATTCGAAGCAATGTAAAAAGAAATGCAAGCGAGAAGAAGAAAAAGAACATAGTTTAAGAATAAGAGATGTTGGAATATATTAGGGTTCTAAATTTGAATTGAATCTAACTTGAATTAGATCTCAATCGATTTGAGAGTTTTCATCTTAGGGTGAGCGAGCTTTCATAATTTAACCACACGTTTAATTGAAAGTTTGAAAGTAACGTGTTAACATAGACAACGTTGTCAAAGTCGTTGTGTAAAATCGGAAAATTTTATAAGTTTGTCTGTTTAATGGGAAACAAAAATTAGTTCATGTATTAAACATTGATTCAAAATAGTTTGTGTATTTTATTAGCAACTAAAATTTGGTTTGTGGATTTTTAAGGAATTTTCTTTTCACAATTTACCACGTGCTTAATTAAACATTAACGCCGTTGCCAACTTTCGTTAAACCTAGTCGTCTAAAGTGATGGCGTAAATCTTACGAATTTAAAAAGTTCATGTACTTAATAGATAACAAATTAATTCATGTATTAAATGGAAAGCCAAAATAATTCGTCTATTTTATTAGCAAATGAAAATTACTCTGTACATTTTTAAAGAATTTTCCCAAAATTGAGCTCATTAGATGTATAAGCATCAAAGTATTGTGAAGTAAATCTAGAAAATAATTATAAAAATAATTTGACTTGCTCGCTGATTATGGAATTGTACTTCGATTATAGCAATTAGATCATTCCGAGTTCGTATGTTAAAGTAATTGCAATATAGTTTATTAATATTTTTCTTTATACGACTGACTGCATGTAGTTAAAACCAAAAGTTATTAAGATAATATTTTGAATGTATTAGGAATTGTTATTGTTCATTCACACGGCTAAGTGTTTTTAGAGTGAATTATTATAACTTAATCTTGTTAATATGGTGAAGTTTACAGTTTATTTTTCACGTTTGTTAAATATATTGATTTTGTTAACTAAACCAATTAATTTATATTTTACCAATTGATAAATGTGTAAGAAGTCGTGTTTTTTTTGTTGTTGCTAATAGTTGGATAAGAAGTCGTGTTGATAATAATGTGTCTTCTATTATGTTTATGGTTTGATATGTATTCGTTGATATGTATTCTAGTGCTAGTTGTCTAGCACTTCCATGGTCATTATTCTTTATGATTGATTTAAAATCATATTTTGTATATTCAGTCGCTCACTCTTTTTAATAGATTGTTGATATCATTCAAATTACTCTGAAGAATAACTTTATTTTCTCAGATAAGAGGTAGAGCTATAGTATTTAGGGATCGAATCCATAAGGAGCTAGGGAACCAATTAGATCTAACAGTTATGAATAATCTAGGCAAATAAGTAATAAAACAGTGAATAAATTTTAAAACAGTAAAGAAAGTAAATTGCAATAAAATAGTAAACAAGATGAAGAAGACAAATGTTCACCTTGGCAGAGAGTTGTTTGATGGAAGGATGGTTGCTAGATCTAGGGTTTCTATTTAGGTATTGAAAATTTAATTCTATAGGTGCTAAACAGTTGTTTGCATGATACTGAATAGCTTAACCACTAAGTAACAAATTCATAAGGCGTTCGCTTACTGAATAAGTCTATTAACTAGATCTATTGACCCAAACAAGAATGCTCGATCAATAGTAGTGTCGATTGATATTCTATATGAATATCGATCGATTCACTTCACACGACGTCGATCGATTTCTGATGGGAGTATCGATCGATGCGGCTAGTTAAGCTTTATGCACGAGTTAATTATACTCACTAAAGATCAAGCTCTCGCTCTGCTTCTACTAAAATCCTAGCTTAATAGAATAAATTCAGGATATCTAGGATATTCTAATAGGTTGTTCAAACTATCTAAACTCCTTAGATCAGGTTTCTAGGTAGCTAATCTAGAACATAGGCATTAAGAGCATCGTATTAATGAATATCACAACAAGCGATCCTATAGTTGGGGCTAATCCCTCTAACCTATTTGAACCCTAAATCTAGCAGGTGGATTTATTCAAACATGAAGTTTGTCACATAAATCATAGATAGAATAGATAAATAGAATATAAATAATATGAAAAGCAAAGAACCAAACGAGTTCCAAGAGCACTGTGATAGAGTTCCTCCCTTCTCTCCTAGAATATAGAACAATATAATAAAGCTTAGGTAATCTCTAGCCGTCAATAATGACTTGTAAATAACATAAATATGGTTTCTGGTCGTCTAGGGGCATTCTGGTATTTTAGGTTTCTTTTGGGTTTAAGTCGGTTTTGAAATATACTTGGCATGTGTTATGGGATCAATTTCAATCGATACAAGTAGTGGTGCATCGATCGATTTTCCTTAAAGAACAAAAGGTAAAATTTGAAGTTTTATAATTTTTTTTTTAGAGAAATAAACTTCAAATTTACAGCTATAGAGTGTTTTTTGAAAATACACCTAATAATATCTCTAACTTCACTCTATTTTCGATCTAAAATAGAGTTTAGAGTAAAAGAACACCAATCTTATTCAATTTTTTACTCTATAATAAATAAAACTAATTTTATTCCATATACAGAATAATTCATCTTTTTTTGTTATTCTATTCTTTTACTCTAAAATAGAGTACTTAAAATAGAAACAAACTCTAAGATTAAATTATTTTAATATTATAAAAAAATAGAGTGAACACTTTTATTTTGTTGCATTCTAAAGAAAGCACACAAACGTTCTAATATTCGAAGTCACCTCCCACCGGAGACTACAGATTCAACAATTGAAGATCCACATGTAAACATGCTTATCTCGCGAAGTTCGTTGTGTGTTCCCAACATGATCTCGCTCCCATGCAATTCCAAAGGCGACAAATCTGGTAACAGTGCATCCCCGCTTAGGTAATGTAACACTTGTCTCATAGTTGGTCTAGCCTGGGGATTGGAGCGAGAGCACAACAATCCTAGTTTCAAAACCATTTCAACCTCAAGTTGGTCATACTCTGTCCCTAGGTTGGGATCCTTAGCATCGAGAATGTTTCCCTCATTCCAAAGCCCAAGAACCCAATCCACGAGCAAGACCCTCTCACCACTCTCGTTATGAATCTGGATAGGACGTCTACTGCACACAACTTCTAGTAAGAGCACCCCAAACGCAAAAACATCAGTAGCGGTCGTGGCCTTTCCTGTCCTCACGAGGTCGGGGGCTAGGTATCCCCATGTTCCAGCGACGTTAGTGGTTTGGAGATCTGTGCCGTGACCGCACAACCGAGCTAAACCGAAATCCCCAAGTCTCCCATTGTGATCTGCATCTAATAAGACGTTGCTGGCTTTGATGTTGCGGTGAATCACCACTTGTTCCCAGTCGTCGTGGAGGAAGAATAAGGCAGATGCCACACCTTTAATGACCTTAATTCTCTGTTTCCAGTCGAGGGTAACCTCCGGACTATTATACAAATACTTATCTAAGCTTCCATTGGGCATGTACTCATCACTACAAGAAAACACGGCGATTCTGACGGAAAAATTCGTCGGAATGTCGTCGGAATATAGGTATTCCGAGGATATACCGACGAAACCGGTCGTCGGAAAATTTTCGTCGGAAATTCCAGTTTCCTCGGAATTTCCTCGGAAAATTCTGAGGAAATACCGAGAACCACAATTCCGAGGACATTCCGAGAAGCCATTTCGTCAGACGTTTCCTCGGAATTCCCTCGGATTTTACCGATGAAAACTTCCGAGGGATAGATGTTATCGGAAAATTCCGACGACAGGATTCGTCGGAATTTTCCGAGGACATCACGTCGTCGGAATTTTCCGACAAACGAGTTCCTCGGAAAATTCCGAGGAACTGGGCTTCCTCGGAAATTTCCGAGGAACTGGTGTCCTCGGAAATTTCCGAGGAAGCCCAGTTCCTCAGAATTTTCCGAGGACTCAATTTCCTCGGAAAATTCCGAGGAAGCCCAGTTCCTCGGAATTTTCCAAAATTTATATATTTTTTTTTAATTATAAATTATTGTTTTTTAATTAAAATTCGAAAATATAAAATAAAATTGTAAACTGAAAATATATTAGATAATAGAGTAGTTCAAATAAAAAAAAACATTCAGAGTTTTTGAAAAAAAAAAAACTACGGGAATTGCTCGTTCGGGTACATCCGCTTCATCATCTCCATCATGGCCTCGTTCTGCTTT